TCCGGGGAAAAGAAAAGAGAAGACGGATATTGACAGAGAAACGCCGAATTAGCAAAGCGAATGTTTAGGCAGTGAACGAGTGTTTGCCTGGAGTGGATGATATCTGTACGGGCAGATATTGCTGTTGTTGCTGTTGTTGATGAAGAAGAGGAGGGTGAAGTTGAATGTTTTGGATAGAAGCCTACGCTCGGGAAGGAATCTATTTTTGGTTGACTGGTTGCCACCACTCGACATCCTCGACATCCTTCCCGCCAAGATTACGAGTTCAAGGGAGTATCGGCATCGGCATTGGCCTCGCACAATCATGGAAATAAAATGCATAGGTGCTTTATTGAGCTTGAGCATTCGGTATCTAGGTAATCTATGTCCATGCAGTTGTCCCTCGTTAAAAGAGCGCCTGGTGCAGATGCGACTCCCGTTAAATCGACCTAAAACATATGGGTATCTCAGGTGCTCATGCTTTTGATTTGTATTCATCTTTCAAGACCCAACGCCCTCTCCCTCTGGTACCTCGCTCCAGTTTCGCGATCTCTGTGAGCATCGCCTTGAACTCCGCCGTCTTCTCTGGTGTGTTGCAGTATCGGTTGAAATGATCGATCAACATCTGCGTATGCACTTGCCCTCCTTGAACGACGAGATAGTCTCGTATCATCTTGATAAAATCGGTACCCCCTGGTCCCGAAGCATTGCTGTTTGACGTACTCCCTCTTGAACCAGCGGCGACGCCGATTGCCGCTTGCCTGTTCTGCAAACCTGCTAAAATGCTTGAAGAAGCTGGTCCGCCCCTTCCTCGACCAAGTCCTCGCTGTTGCTGCTCTGGTCTTCCAGCTGTTCCAAATTGGCCAGTCCACGTCGGAGTACCTACTGGTACATCTCTTGCCGCTTCACCTGCTTTCTTCAATTCTTTCGCAGCCTCAGCTGCAACCCTCTTGGCCTCTTTTTCGATCATCTTCGGGTCAGCCGTAATAACCTTCTTGCCATTGACGATCTGATCGTGCTCCAAGGCAGATTGTACCCCAGACTTAGCGAAGATGCCTTCCATGACACGGGCTTCTGAGTTCGCAGCTCCGTTAGAGGCAGCAGCCTTGCGTTCCTCTTCCTCTTCACCGTAGAAGCGCTCCATTGAAGCTACTCCGTTCAAATTGCGGACGGTGAAGGCGTTGTCACCTCCTTGGACAGTACTGGCTGGTGTCGCGCCACTGGTGTCACTGCTTATAACCGGCTCAGCAGGTGGCTCTTCGTTGTCAAATCGTACCTCAGTACCCTTGAAGAGCGTACTGGTCTCGGTAGCAGGCTCGTCAGCTCCACCAAGCGTGAATAAGTCGTGTAGATCCTTCATCTGGAATGTCTGTCGTTGCTTCGGATCCCTCAATATTTTGTTGATGAGGAATTGCTTGAAAAGCTGGCGGTGGTATATCTTCTCTTCGATTGTCCCCGCGGTCATTAGTCGATAGATCATGACCTCTCGTTTCTGACCTAAACGCCAAGCTCTTTCACGCGCCTGGACGTCGGTTGATGGGTTCCAGTCCGGGTCGTAGATGATGACTCGATTGGCTCCAGTAAGATTGATACCAAGGCCCCCCACTTTTGTGGTGAGAAGGAAGACGTGAGCGGCGGGATTGTTGTTGAATTCATCCACTAAGCCCTGCCGAGTGTGAATAGGGGTAGTGCCGTCCATGCGGCGATAGTTGAAGCCTCCTAGAGACCCAATGAACTTCTCAAGGATATCGAGCATGATCCGATGCTGAGCAAAGAGCAAAGTCTTATTCCCCTGCTCTTTCCAGAGCTCCAGCAATGCTTTCACAACTTGCATCTTGCCCGACTTGGCGCCACTACCGTAGTTATAGCCAGGCTTGACGGAAAGAATCTTGTGATCTTGCAGGTCTGGATGGTTGCAAATCTTCCGAAGGATATCAACACCGTACAAGATCTGACGTTTGCCATTCATAACGGCTTTCAGATCATCGGACGCAAGGAAGTTCTCGTATGTGTCACGCTGGAACTTTGTCAGCTTGCAGAAAAGCACCTGCTCGCTCTTCTTAGGCAAATCAGAGGCAACATCAGCTTTGAATCTTTGCAGGAGGTATGGGGATATCGTCTCTTTCAATGTCTCGGCACATTGCATGGCGGTCTGGACTTGAAGATTTGAAGCATTGGCGTACCCACCTTGCCGTATAGGGAACTCGAACTGTTGGCGAAAATTAACCAGGGTACCAAGTCGCATTGGAAAGACAAAATCAAAAAGAGACCACAGTTCCACGAGGTTATTCTGCATAGGCGTGCCTGATAAGATAATACGGTTTGCCGTTCTTAATTCCTTGCAATATATAGTGATAGCGGTATTTGGGTTGCGAATCTTATGCCCTTCGTCAAGCACGGCGTACTCCCAGTCTGTTGGGATCAGAAGCTCCGCGTAACTCTGGAGTCCAGAATAAGTCGTGACTAGGATATGTCCTTCTTGAACTACACGATCCACGATTTTCTTTGCCGATATCTGAGCTTTGGTCAAAGGCTTGCTTCCTATCGATCTTGGAGGTGCCGACATCAGCTCATGTTCTTCCCGAGACTCTCGACCCAGGTCAACCATGCCACTCCCAGAAGTATGGAGGATTGATACACGGAAGGGCGGCCACCAAGTGTGGAATTCATTGACCCATTGCTTCATCACTGTAGCTGGCGCCACAACAATGATGGGTTTCGTAATCTTCTTACTATAGTGCAGCCCGGCCAAGAATGCAATTATCTGTATCGTCTTTCCCAGGCCCATCTCATCACCTACAATACCACCCACTTGTTGCGAATAAAGCTCCCACAACCATTGAACACCGGTCTTCTGGTAATCGAAAAGGGAAGGATATATGTCTCCTGGGATGCGATAACCACCCTCGAACTCAGTATCTGGTGTGACAGGGTGTGGCTGGTGCCATTCCTCTTCTGAGTCGTGGCCATTTTGTGTCTCTGGGATCGCCGGAACATCGTCCATCGGAGTATCGGACTCCGCTACTGAACTCTCGGCTGCTCTGGCTGTGGCTTTCGCTCGTGTCGCGCTCCTCCTGCTGACCCAGCTGCGCAAGCGATTCTGGTATAAGCGTTCATTCCCATCATCGAGGCCATTCAAGTCCTCTTTTTCAATCTCAACCGGAGGCTTCTTTTTCCGCTTGCCTCCAGCTCTCCGTGGAGGCGTCGTGTCCAGGAATGTGGCGTCTTCCGACTCCTCATCAGACTCGAGTTCCGCCTCACCCAGAGCTGCCATCTCGCGATCGTCCAACTCTGGGATATAATTATCCCCTTCATCTTCAGAGGATGCCCCCCTTTCCGCTTTCACCTTCGCTGTAGAGGTCTGCTGTAAACCATTGGTGTGTCCTTCAGCGGGCGACTTCTTCGTGTGCAAACGTCGCCGCTTCCTTGGCCTATCTAAGTCTTCTGGCACCTCAAGAGGAGACTCATCCTCCTCATCTTCCCTGAAGCCAGGTTGAAGTAGGTTGCGGTGGGACAGTTTCTCCGTGGTCTGGGGCGTATCATCGCCAATTTTAGTTTCAGCTTCCTCTTCCTCAGCACCCAAGAGTACACCTTGAAGGGTAGAATCATCACGGCTGAGTGTCTTCCCGGGCAATTTAGAGAATGGAGTTATTTTTCCTGTTCGGATGAGAAAATCTCGCTGGCTTTCATTCGGCATTCTTCGATTCCCTGCTTCCTCGTCAGGGTGAACGTCATCATGGACTTCATCTGCGTGTCTCTCATCAATGCGTGCCTGTATTTGCTCGAGATCACTCGTGAAAGCCCTGATACTAGCTTCAAGATGTGAGATCTCCGCATTGAGACGTGTAGCCGTAGCCGACCCCGTAGGACGCCCTCTACGTTCGCGAAGTCTCCGAACTTGACTTTCTAGCTTTTCCTTGTCTCCCCGAGTCTTCTCCAGACGCTTCTTGTCCCTCTCATCCGCTTGCTCGGTGAGCAACTGGTCTGCTTGACGACCGATATCCCGCTCGAGGTCATCTTGATCCCTCACTTCTGTGGCAAGCTCTTTCAAACGACTAGCTTCGTCTTCGCCCAAAGTGTCCCCCCGTACGAGGCTTGGCTGAGATGTTTCAAAGCTTCCTTCAGCTGGGTGACTACTATCCTGCACATCCTTCCTGTCGTCGCCGTTTGTAGGCTGCTTGGATGGGTCCATATTTGATCAGATCCGAGGATCAAAGCTTACATTCACGGTTGTAAATTGCTGGCATGCTAGCGGATTGGTGAAGCTTTGCGGAAGTCAAGGATGGCTGAACGGGCCCATTCGTTGACCTCTTTGCTATAGTTTTCCTAGTTCACTTCCTCGTCTCACACCTGCATAGATTGTGCCTTCAAAATGAAAGGGAGTGTAGCACCAACTGTACGGCGGTGAGCGTATCAACATTCTGATGCTCAATAGACTAGAAGCACGATAGCCTAGAAGTGAATGATATCATTTAGGAACTCGTTGCTTCGCAGGACAAATTCAAACAATAATACTCTTACGTAGTGAATGCCGTCGCAACGGGAAGTTCCGCGCCCAAGGGAAAGCCCTGCCGCGACCATCGTCCAGTGTTCAGATCACTTACCTTAGCTCACGCTTCAGCGTAACAACTCCCTCTCTATGTATGGGATCGTGTCACTTTTGCCTGTTCGTGGATGTACTTAGGGTTCTGAATATCCACCAGGGAGTCAGGCAGGCCGATCGCCAAGGGCTGCTTGCATAGCTCTAGCCTAAGCCACTATCCAACGTCGGGCAGGGGCACTTCGAAAAGCAGCAGGCCTCAGGCGCTCATGCTTCGACCCCCCACATTGAAACCCCGAGCAAGTAAACGCTCTTGAAGACGTCTGGGACCTGCTTTGCTTTTTGGTCGCCGTCATCGTTGCCTTCTAGCGTCACAGGACAGGCCAGCTTCTCGCCCAAGAAGGAAGGCCAATTGCTGCTCAACGATACACGAAGTACGATACTCGCCGGGGTGTCTCACGACCTTTCAGCAGGCGCTACGATGGATCAGAACTGGCAGCCTTACACGGATGTGGCAGCAGCGAGCCGACAGGGACGATACCCACAAACAACAGGACAGCAACCAGCGAATGGTTCGGCGCAGCATCAGCCGCAGTCTGGATATAGCTATGAAGCTTATCAAACTCCTTCGGTACCTTCTCAACCACAGTCAATGGCTGTGTCGCCTATCGGGACTCCTCGTACGCGTGCCTATTCTGGAGACGGAGATGTTGCAATGGAAGATGCGGATCCCTACAATAGGATGAAGTACCCTTCAAGGCCTACTCATTCGCAACGCCCCTCTTCACAGTACTTGGGACAAGAGGATTCTTCCGCCGCAAGGAGGTATTCACCAATGAAGGCACTCTCACCTTCTTCACCTTACGCTCCGAGCTCCCAGCAATCGAGTCAAAGCCCATATGGACACTATCCATCACAAAGCACTTCGGCGCGACAATCCCCAACGCGCTCGAACCACTACTCTACTCCATCTCAATCGTACTATTCGACACCCAGTGAGTCACTAAGCATGCCAAGCCACCCCTCTCCCCGTCAATTTTTTTGCCATGATGCTAATCGTGCTCTAGCATCTTCTAGGCAACCACCCTTACAGCTTCCTCCCATCCACCCAAATTCTGACACCACTGACCAATTCTATCCGAACTCTGCAACAGCGCAATTGAATGCTGTTTTCGGCCGGGAGACAAAGTCACCGCGGCAAATGCGGCCAGTCCACCCTGGCACGGCAGACATGCCACGAGGACCAGTGCCGAGATTTAATAAGTTAGAGTCTGTGCAGGACCTTCAGCCTAGGGTCAATCCGCAGCCTGCTTTTCGGCGAGCAAATCCAGAGGGCGGTTTCATTAGCGTAAGCTTGCTTGATCGATAGAATTATCTACTATCACTGACAGTTCTGGCCTTAGCCTTTGCAAGCATTGACCACTCATTTGCCCTCGACATATCGGATATGCAACCCAGCTTTCAAATACGAGTCATCCAGAAACCCACGAAGAGTCCTTACTAAGCCGAGCAAAGGCGTCAAGAACGACGGGTACGACAACGAAGACAGTGACTATATCTTGTTTGTCAATGATATACTTGGCAATGAAGAGAACGGGCACAGGTAAGTTCTGTAATCCAAAAGTGCGCGTCGGGTCTTGTTAGTGATGCGCTGCTCTAGGAATAGGTATCTCATACTTGATGTTCTTGGCCAAGGTACCTTTGGACAGGTGGTGAAATGCCAGAACCTGAAAACCCAGGAAGTAGTTGCGGTGAAGGTTGTTAAGAATAGAACAGCATACTTCAATCAAAGCATGATGGAGGTCTCAGTGCTGGACTTGGTAAATCCATACAAACGTTCAATTTAAATAGACGACTGATTGGTTACGCAGCTCAACGGCAAGTTGGATAAGAATGACGACCATCACCTCCTACGACTGAAGGACACCTTTATTCATCGGCAGCATCTGTGTTTAGTCTTTGAGCTGCTCAGCGTGAATCTTTACGAGTTGATCAAACAGAACCAATTCCGCGGATTGAGCACAACACTAGTGAGGGTGTTTGCACAGCAGCTCTTGAATGGATTGGGTCTGCTCAACAAAGCAAGGCTCATACATTGTGACCTCAAGCCGGAAAATATCCTTCTTAAGAACCTGGAAAGTCCGGTCATCAAGATCATCGATTTCGGCTCAGCTTGCGATGAGAGACAGACAGTTTACACTTACATCCAGTCACGATTCTACCGGTCACCAGAAGTCCTCCTAGGACTACCGTACTCCTCAGCGATCGACATGTGGTCGCTGGGCTGTATTGTGGTGGAGCTTTTCCTGGGCCTTCCCTTGTTCCCAGGTTCGTCTGAGTACAATCAGGTATCTCGGATAACGGAGATGCTTGGTCTCGCCCCAACATGGATGCTGGAGATGGGGAAGCAATCGGGAGAATTCTTCGAAAAGACTCATGATGATTTTGGGAGACGTACGTACCGGCTCAAGCCAATGGAGCAGTATTCTCGAGAGCACGGTTCGAAGGAGCAGCCAAGCAAGAAGTATTTCCAAGCGACGACCTTGCCAGAGATCATACGGAGCTATGCGATGCCAAGGAAAAATATGAAGCCTGCAGAGATTGAACGAGGTACGTGCTTACTGATATGATAGTCTGCAAAACTGACTTTGCCTAGAAATGACTAATCGCCATGCTTTCATCGACTTCGTGCGCGGCTTACTCAACATAAACCCGCTCGAACGGTGGTCTCCCCAGCAAGCGAAGCTGCATCCATTCATTACGCAGCAAAAGTTCACCGGACCCTTTGTTCCGCCAATGAATTTGAAGTCCTCTTCTATTACGAAATCACCGGCTCCTGGAGTGCAGCAACAGCAGCAGGCCGAAGCTGTTAGCAAACAGCGAGCTCAAGCGGCTCAGGCACAAGCTCAGGCACAGGCACAGGCCCAAGCACAGGCCCAAGCACAAGCGCAGTCGGCAGCCCAGAACGCGTACGTGGCCAACATGCAGATGAGCCAGTACACGCAAAGTCCGCTTGGTCAAGCACCTCCAGCGTACAACAACATGTACACACCTCAACAAGGAGCACCTCCAGCTTACACTGCGGCCTCAGCTACCTTTGGTCAGCAGATGGGCATGATGCAACAAACACCCAGCCAGATCGCCCCAGCGCAATACACTCCTCAACAGAACCTGTATGCGCAAGCTGCAACCAGAGCAGGTCGGCAACGCGCCTCCACCATGGACCAACAGCAAGGCGGAATACCACAATCGATCCAAAGGGTGGCGAGCCACCTTGATCCGAACGCGCCAATCAGGTTGCAGCCAAGTCCCGCGTATTATCCTCCACCGCCAGATGGATATGTCGATCCAAATGCCGCGAATGCCAGGAGGAGGGGGAGCCGTGCAGCGAGCGGCCGGAACAGAAATTTCATACAGACTTTAGAAGATCGGACCATGGAGGAGGGATTTGTTAACCAGTCACAATGGCACTGAATGGGGACATAACATCTACTATACTGATGTTGTATTTAGACAGAGAGATTTACGGCCATTCCGCCATACAAATGGACATGGGATAATCGGGTGCGATTAGAGGGTTCGTGGCAATCATAAGGCCACAATCTGGACGAGGGCAACTCGCTAATAGCACCACTGCTCAATGATGCAAGCTACCTTTAAGACGCTCTGGCAATCGATGGCCGCAGCCGATACGCTCCCTGCCTTTGAAAAAATTCGACAAGCACCAGAATGGCTGCTTCACTACAGCACTACCGATCGCGTCCTACAGATGCGATACAATACACGCCGTACGTTACAACATCCCTTGTCTTGGCTGGGAAAGGGACTGCTGAGCAATGGAGACACGAGACGTTGAACCTCTCGCTTTGGGCTTTCAGCATTCTCTGGGCGATAGGCGTGACGATCCTATGGATGTATGTACGAATTAGGGCAGCAGGCCTGAGAATGAATTAGATTTAGTTCCTACCGAGGGAGGTGGGTGATTTATCTCTAAGACAATCCAGAACAGTGGGGACGAACCGGCTCTTTACCACAGTTCAATGCCCTTAACTACCAACGCAGGACCCAATCAGTTGTCTTTCTTGTCAAGGGAGCTCAGGTTGACACTGCCTGAGGGTGTGGAACCCCTGATTGACTCAATTCTGCTGTCTCAGTATCGAAAAAGTCCATTGGCTTGGAGAACCTACCAATCATCCATGGCCTCGTCTTCATGTTCCCTGTTCTCATCTTCTGAATCATCCGAATACTGTATGTTACCTGCATCCCCATTAGTGAATAAGCATACGTAGGGTCGAATGGCCTCCTGACCCTCACGGATATTAAGGAGTGAAGATATGAATATGACTGTAAGATGCGTATGCAGAGGACAGAAGAAACAAGATGATAGCTAGCGCTCACATCAGCGCTAGTCCTCGTTCGGTCTCTCATATCAAGGCTAGCCCAGGTACATCTTCAAGGACATCTTCATGGCTGGCGAGCCGACGTAGTGATTCATATGTATTTGAACGTAGTCCTAACTCTCTGAGAAGAGTGCAAAGACCCCTCACACAAGAAATAAGAGCCGCTCACGGGCGCCATCGAAAAGAAGTCTCAAGCTATTACCCATAGTCTCTTCTTTCTGAGCAATTTGTTCATACGCAGAGGGGAGATCTGGTCCATCGTAGTATGGAATTATATGCGAAGGTTCGTCCACTCAAAGGCGGGGATCTCACGCTTCATCCTGATGTCACCTGGGCCTCAATTGGAGGTGATGAACTGGTTGTACTCTATAGCAAATGCCCAAAACTGTTCCTCCGCTGGCGAGACTTCTATTGGGCAGTAGTAAGAAAACGTACCAAATAGCGGCCATGCAAAGCTCTCCAACCACAAGAGGCGTATGAGACGGAAGCTAACAGTGAAATAGACCGTTGATGGCAGAAAACGAGGACATCTCTTCACTGATCTAAATGACTTCACTCCAAGTTGATGTAAACCAAACCCAGGCTTGCGAGGACTGAGAATTAGAGTGAAGTCCAACGGAGATACTACCTACTGTGAGTCAGGTAGATCGCACATTGATGCGATGGAATCTCTGCGCCAGATGTCTTCAACTTCCACATGGTGCTTAGATCTCATTACTCATGTACAGGAGGATGCGATCAGAAGTGCGGCAGAAATGCAGTCCAGCTGACAGACTCGTACGCACTTGGCGGCAAAGCCCGAAGGTTAATGAAATCCTCGACGATGACATGATCTCTGGAGAGGCAATCCACTATGCAGCAACCCAGTATAGGTAGGATGGCCTTCAATGTAATATCTTGCACAACGTCGTGTGGGTATGGCTTGTTCTTCAGCGGGCCAAGGAACTTCTCAATGCGGCAAGTCAAGCAGAAACGTGCTTGGGCCCATCGTTCTGGCGTCGCAATGAAGCTTCGTGTACTCCTCTGGATGATGACCGGCGCTCCTTGTTCGAATGACTGCCGGTATCTCCCAGGCGTAAATATGCATGATTCAGTAGGTCAGAATAGCGCATATGATACCTGGAGTTGTGATATGCCACAGTAGCTTCTCAGTATGGGTTGGAAACCTGAAGTTCCATCCACTGATATGGACTGCAGCATAGCCGTTTCGGGATAGGAAGAGTATACACATGGTGGTATTGGGAAGAGGAGGGTAGTAACCGTCTGGGAATCTTTCGATAGGCCGCTGCGTGGAAGCAAAGGTGATATTAAAGAACTACCTGAGAACGCCCATTCAGTATGACCAGTATAGAGTCCATGACCAGTCCTCACGCCAAACAACATCCAGAGGAGTTCTCCTGTACGGCGCTTTTGCTCGGTCACCAGCATCGAGGAGAATTTGTCGAATGGTGGCATTAGGTTTGATGACAACGGCCCTTCCAATGTCGACTGGCTTGTAGTACCAGAAGTAGTATGTTCCCAGGGTACATATGATGAAGCCAATAGTTGCCAGCTCTAAACTTGTGATTGCAAGGTGCTGAAACGCCCTGCCGACGGCTGCAATTACCAAGATATTCGAAGTACTGTTATAAGACGAACGAGAGTATCGACTTTGTTTCTTTCCTTGATGAGATCCTGCTCGATACCCACATCTAAGTAGGGCACGTACTTATTGACAACGAGATAGTGGATACCCATAATGCTTGAATTTGTCAACCGAGCCACGCGCGGAGCACCATTGCCATATGGCAATCTGGAAGGTGAATTGAGGTCCTAGAAAGGTTAAGCAGGCCATAAGAGATTTGCGGTAACTAGGCTTCTATCTGCCGAAAGATGCTGGGAAGACATTGAGACATAGGGTTGTCCGGCTGCAGAGGACAAGTGTCACGCAACTGCTGACCAAGATCTCGTACGTTCCTCGGCCACTTGGTGAAGAGGTCCAGCCTTGCAGAGGTAGATGGTGAGTTGAATTTAGGAGTACACAATGTGGTCTAGCAGACCATGCGGTAGAGTGGGGATGATGTATGGATGGTCCATACACAAGTAAAGGGCAAAAAGTAGATTTCTATGGCCTGATCTAGCAGCATAAAGAAGAACACTGTCACACATAAGCGAGTCCAGAAGCTTGGAAGGAATCAGTAAAGATGCATGACGCCGGATGGACTCCACAACAGGTTTCTTTAGCGCACGCTGCATGAATGACCCGAGCACGTCTGGTACGGAATATTATGCCGCTTCATATTTCGTTCAAACGGATAGCTACAGCCTCCATCTTCGGGCCAGGCATGCTCGAGAAATTCCATCCCATGTCCATCGCAGCATGCTCAATTGAACAATTACTCTGAGGCAGAGCGAAGACTGAGCGATAGAGCTGGCCGTACTTCTGCGCAGACGCCCAACCAGGTTTTGCAGAGAGACCTGAAGGGTGGTCTTCATGGCTTCATCCTTCATGCGCCATCAAAGAGAGATAGCTGCTGGTGTAGGGCGGCACATGGACGGGATTGGCCAAGCTCAATTTAAATCTACGGAGCGGGAAGACCAACAGGAGCGAGGAGCCGAACATACGCGCGCACTGATCCCCTGCATATTTAATATTGCTCCCCAAAGTTCTCCAATGATAAAAAAGGTGATTGATCTCGGAGGCTTGTTGTCTCGACAGGATTTGAGGTCCTCTAGCCCCGACACTGATATTCTCCTCTTAAATCTCGAGCTTGCTAGATGTCATGCTGCTCCCGCTATTGAATGCCAATCCACTATACCCATGTATATAATGCTCCGTTTAAAGGCGTTGTGCCTTCATTGATGTGCTTGTCAGTGGTTCGGTCATCTTATCCTGCCTAGCATCCGACCCTATCGACACTGTTTTTCTATATGTCTACACTTTTGTAATCCATAGCTCTGTGATTCCGAAGAGTTTAATTATATATTCCAGTCATTTTCAACGAGCAGAGCCTATCGGTCGCTGGCCTTCACGCCATCACTGCGCACTCATGGAAAGCCACAATGATGCGGTGAAAATCATTGCTGCTCAAGTCCGAGCGTTCAACGCACGAAAGGAACCGTTCCGCATTTATCATGGGTCCACGAACTGCACCCGTACGTCTCGGCGTCAGCGAGATCAGATGGTTGACATCAGCAGCCTGAACCATGTCCTCCAAGTCGACACCCAGGCCAACTTTGCTCTGGTGGAACCCAATGTATCTATGGATGTGCTGATAGAAGCAACGCTCCGTCATGGCCTAGTGCCGCCAGTGGTCATGGAGTTCCCCGGTATAACAGCTGGTGGCGGTTTTGCTGGTACCGCTGGTGAAAGCAGCTCCTTCCGATATGGCTTCTTCGATAGGATCGTTAGCTGGATCGAGATTGTACTCGCAACCGGTGAGGTGGAGACTGCCTCCACTGTCCTGAGATCGGATCTTCTCTATGGCGCTGCAGCCGCTTTTGGTACTTTGGGGATAACAACCCTGCTCAAGATTGAACTGAAAGAGGCGAAGACATACGTGGAGCTCAGCTATTTCCCAGTCAACAGCAGATCTGAAGCATTAGAGAAATTCAAACAAATCGCCAGGGACCCCGCGATAGACTATGTGGACGGAATCCTCTTCGCCTCCAATGCCGGTGTAGTATGCTCAGGGCGGTTGACCAGCGAAGCATGCGGTAACGTCCAGGGTTTCGCCCGTCCAAGTGATCCATGGTTCTATCTCCATGCTCAAAAGCTCGTCGAACGGTCATCTAACCCGACCGTAGAATCGATTCCTTTGGTCGACTATCTCTTCCGTTACGACCGTGGCGCGTTTTGGATGGGATTCTACGCCTTCAAGTATTTCCTCGTTCCATTCAATCGCATCGGACGCTGGGTTCTGGATCATTTCATGCACACCCGAGTAATGTATCATGCGCTTCACAAGAGCGGCCTCTCAACAAAGTACATAATTCAAGACGTTGTTGTACCGTATGTGACTGCCCACGATTTCTACAAGTACGTCGACGAGACTTTAGGCTTTTACCCACTCTGGCTTTGCCCTGTCCATCAGA